AATCCCGTGTTGATGTAGAAGCTCTCTTTATTCCGCCCAGGTTTATCCGAGTGAATTATGCAAATCTTTGATGGAAAAATATTCCTGCGCACATCCTTGAGTGTAAAACCTTAGTCAATAATTCATACCCGGATGTCTGTGACTGCAGGCTTTTTCTTCATTATAACTTGCACCTCGTTATTTGTCTTCCGCGTTTTATTGTCTGTCCTGGTGTAATGCCATGCATTATAAAAGGGATCTGCTCCATTATTTGATGAGCTGGGGCTGGGATGCTGGTGCAGGGGCCGCGGGCCCGTCATACCAAGTCCCACAGGACTGAGGCAGAGGAGAGGCGGTGGCTGGCCACGCGGTGTGAGTGCAGGGACACCAGGAGCCCCCTTCTCCCCCCACACCGTGCCAGACGCGCCCGTCCACCGCCTGGCATCCCCGGCGCACCACCAGGGCTCATGGCTTCCCTGCTCCAAAGGCTTAGTCCTCAGGAGCAGATGAGCTGGCAAGTTTGCTGGGGACGCCGTCTTCTGAGTAAGTCTCTAGAGCTAGAGGACATTGGGGGTACAGACAGGGCCAGCCCCTGAGGGCCAGCGACTCGCGCCCCGAGGGAGCCGCTGGAGAGGACAGTGCTGGGCTGCCGTGAGCTGGGCGCTGCTCTGCAGACGTGGCATGAGGAGGGGCCTCCACAGTGGGGTCGGGGGAGTGTCTGACTCTTTTTTTTTAAATATATTTTTATTGATTTCAGAGAGGCAGGGAGAGGGAGAGAGAGATAGAAACACCAGTGATGAGAGAGAATCATGGATCGGCTGCCTCCTACACGCCCCACACCGGGGATCGAGCCCGCAACCCAGGCATGTGCCCTGAGCAGGAATCAAACCGTGACCTCCTGGTTCATAGGTCGAGGCTCGACCACTGAGCCACGCCGGCCGGGCGGGAGTGTCTGACTCTTGCCATCACTCACAGCCTCCCAGTCTGTCCGTCAGTGTGCCTGACGCGCTCTCCCTCTCCCGCAGTGGCCACGGGGCCTGTGCTCTGAGAGGCGAGTCTGCCCGGAAGGTGGGGAGGTCAGGGCCAGGCCTGCGGACACATCGGAGCGCTGAGCCAGCGGGGCTGCATCCTGCGCCTCGGGCGTCCTCCAGCAGGTCCCCTGCCCAAGGCGCCGCTCTCCCCTGAAGTCCTGCCTGTCAGCTGTGCCTGTCCCACCCTCACCCTCCTCACCTCCTCCCTGGGGGGTGCGCCCTCTGCCATCTGCTCTCATCAAGGCCGTGAGGCCTCCAGGCCGGTGTGTGCGTTCCCTGTGCAGACACCTCAAAGCGTCATTACCATCACGTCACAGAACTGCTAGCATGACCCAGAGCCAGACCTATCTGATCAGGAGTAACAAACTCACGTGTGGATGTGTGCTATACTATATCAAAAGTTTGCTTCTGAGGGTGTTAATATTTGATAGCCATACTTCAGTGTATCTGGTCTCCCCTGTAATTGTAGGTACGGTGTGCGTTTTAAAACATTCTGAACGGGGCCCACGGAATGGAAGAATCCCTGGTGAAGGGAGGCTGCCAGTCATGGGTGGGGGAAGGAGAAAGGGAACAGGCAGATGGGTTCCCTATAGCCCCCCTCAGCCATTATCAGACCCTCTGCCTGGAGCTGAGGGGCTCCGTGGGGGGGGGGGGGACTGGGGGAGGGACTTGCCTCCCTCACTGGGGCCCCCCGCGCCCTCTCCCTCCCCAGGCCCGGCCATGATCACCTCCCACCCCAACACCACCATCGCCATCAAGGGCCACGCCAAGGAGCTGAACTGCACGGGGCGGGGGGAGCGGCCCATCATCATCCGCTGGGAGAAGGGGGACACGGTCATCGACCCCGACAGGGGGATGCGCTACGCCATCACCACCAAGGACAGCGGTGACGAGGTCGTCTCCACGCTGAAGGTGAGCGCCCACGCCCGGCTCAGGGACCCCGACTCTCAGGAAGTGGGGATCCCACGGCTGTGACATCTGTATCAATGGAGGTAAATAGAAAGTTTGGGGAGCCCCTCCCCTCATCCCCAAAATTACCTCCCTTTTCCTAGCTATTCCCTTCTCTAGCTAGGAACCTCGCCTTAGAACCTCACTCTATCTCCTCCTGACAGCCCCAGGCCAGGAACTGTGTGCAACCCTCAGCCCTGCCCTCTTCTCTAGGGCCCCTGCCTCCATTCGCCCTCCTGGGCCCTGGGCCCTCCCTCCCTCCCTCCTGAGCCCTGGACCCTCCGCCCTGGACCCCTGGACTCTCCCTCCCTCCTGGACCCCTGGACCCTCCGCCCTCCCTCCACGTCCATCCTTGGGACTGTCTGGGAATAGGAGCCCTGGCAAAACCCCAGAGGGCGCCCTCCCAGAAGAGGCCACGCTGGCCTCACTGCACTGAGCCTCTGCGGAGACCAGCTCTTCACCAGGCCCTTCCCTCCCTCTCCCTCCTCCTGCCTCTGCTGCCCCAGCTCAAGCCCGCGGACCGTGGGGACTCGGTGTTCTTCAGCTGCCACGCCATCAACTCCTACGGGGAGGACCGGGGCCTGATCCAGCTCACGGTGCAAGGTAGCCTCGCCTGCCCCACATCCCCTGCCCTTCCCAGGGACCGGGTGCCTGTGCTGACTCCACTTCAAGAGCAGGGGCAGTGCCCACCCCACAGGGCGGTGCAGCAGGGACAGTGCCCACCCCACAGGGCGGTGCAGCAGGGGCAGTGCCCACCCCACAGGGCGGTGCAGCAGGGGCAGTGCCCACCCCACAGGGCGGTGCAGCAGGGGCAGTGCCCACCCACATGGTGGAAGAGGATGACAGGAAACGGCCCTGAGGAGGCCTGCCCACCCTCCCTCCTGCCCGGAGTGGGCACTAAGGGCTCCCCAGGTGCGCTTCCAGGGCCAGGTTTGCAGAAGGGCGGGGCCTGGAGGCCGCGGAAAGGGAGTCAGGCTGGAAACAGCTCGGAATTCTGCGTGGGGGACACACAGGCCATCAGCTCTGAGGAGTCCCTACAAAGGGGCTGCCCTCTCCCAGGAAAGGAAGTGGGGATCCCCCTGCCGAACCGTGTGCCAGGCCTCTCCCTGCCTCACCTGGCCCACACTCCAGGGTAGACTACAGGTCACACTAACCCCCAGGGGTCAGCAGAACCCCGGGCGTCCCTGGGATGGACAGGAGGCCCAGCTCTCTGCTGCCATCCTCACTTCTGCCCCCTCCCCGCCACGCCCAGAGCCCCCCGACCCCCCAGAGCTGGAGATCCGGGAGGTGAAGGCCCGGAGCATGAACCTGCGCTGGACCCAGCGGTTCGATGGAAACAGCATCATCACGGGCTTCGACATCGAGTACAAGAACAAGTCAGGTACACGTGCTGAGCCGCCTGGGCCCCCGGGACAGCGCCAGGGCCTCGGGGCTGCCCTCTAGGCGGGCACGCCAGGACGCACCAGTGCGCAGCCCCTGTGGCTTCCAAGGGGAGGGACGCTGGTGGGACTGGGAACCCAGGGAGCAGACGGAGGGTCCACAGCCGATGGGAGGGGTCCCAGTGCTGCCCCTGGAAGCCCACAGAGTGGTCGGATTTAAAGCAATTCAAAGGCCCTGGGCCTTGGGCTGTGGCTGTGGGTCAGAGACACGGCGGCTGGCGGGCGACCAGCTGTCCTGGTTTGGGACGATCCGGTGACTGGGAGGGAGTTGGACGGCTGTTCCTTGCCGAGAATGGGTTGGGTCGTTGGTGGGTGGGAGTCCCCTGGAAGAGGAACCCTCCCAGGGCCCTCCCCTAGGGCGCAGCCAGCTCCTGCGAGGCTGCCCCACCACGGTGACCCTGTGGGCGAGCAGACAGTGGCCCTGGGTCTCTGGGGAACAGGCAGGGGGGGGCATGGTCGGGGAGAGGGGTCCCAGAGGGACAAGAGGCCTGGAACGTGAACCACGCCAAAGGTGAGGCGCAGGTGTTTGTGCTCACATCTGTGTGGCTCTCTCAGGGTGGCACCTGATGATGGGCAACGGGGGAGGGAGGGCGGGTCTGACCTGTGAGGGCCCTGGGTGGCCCCTGGGCAGGAGCAAGAGGAAAACAGCTTCTCATTCCGGACCCTCTTGTGCCTTAGGGATTCGCTCCCGTAGCTGTGCACGCTTTTCAAATCGTTTAAACACAAAACAGTCTGGGTCCCTGCCAGCCGCCTCATCTCGTGGGTCTGAGACGAGGTCCAACATTTCGTTTTCCCCCAGAGCTTTCCAGCCCCCTCCTGCCTTCCTTAGCACGGAGCGCGCTCGTGGGCTGCCCCAGCCCTGGCCCCGCCGTGCTCCCGCACCCAGCACAGCGCCCCACAAGGTGCTCCACGCGGCTGTGTGAGTGGGAGGGAGACACAGAGGCGCAGCTCCGAGCTGAGAATTCACGTGGAGGAGCCCCTCTGTCCAGGGCACTGGGGCCGTGTTTGATGCGGTTTCTACAGGAGAAGCTGACGGTCTCGCTGGGGAGAAAAGCCAGGTGGCAGCCTGCACCCGAGTTCGCCCTGCGTGCAGGAGGGGGTGCCGAGGGGGGCTCCCCTGGGGGTCAGAGAAGCATCTCCCCGATCCTGCAGAGGCCGCATTGAGCTGGGTCGGGAAGCTGGAGAGGTGAGGGCCTGGATTCAGGGAGAGGGAGGGCAGGGCCTGCGCGCCATGCGGGGAGTGGCCTTCCAGCCCAGGAGTCCAGGGGTCACAGAGCCACTTCCTGGGCCAGAAGACCAGCCGTGCTCTGGGGCCAGGCGGGGGCGGGCGCTCCAGCTGAGCCTTTCCTTCGCTGAGGAGGGTCACCGAGAGCCTGGCAACGGCTGGCTCCCAGGAGGGCTGGAGCAGCAGGCGCCGTGGGAAGGGAGGGGTGAGGAGGTGACGAGCAGCAGGCCCTCCGCAGGGACATGGGGTGGAGCCACTGTGCCCAGCTCACTCCTCAGGACTCTCTGAGGCCCAGAAGCCAGGCAGGAAGGGACGGGTGTGCCTGAGGTCCACGTCTCTGGGTGGCGGTGCAGGCTGTCCGGCCGCCCTGTCTGCCTCACAGCTGGGGTGGGCAGTGGGTGCAGGGCTGGCGCCCCCACCCCCACCCACTGCTCTGTGCACCGGCCTCCCTGCCCTCGCCTCCCCTCCGCCGGCCACTCCGTAATGTGTGGGAACCTTTCCTGGGGCAGCGCTTGGCCGAGCAAAGCTGAGAACATCACACGTCTGGACGGCAGCAAGGAGGCGGGAAGGGAAGATGCCACTCCAGAGCCTGTCCACGGCTTCACTGCCCCCCCGGCTCCCTGCAGTGTGAGGACTTGCCATGCCCACCCCAGAGCTGGGGCGCCGGATGGGAGGCCGAGTGGCGGGCGAGGCAATGAAAGCACCTCAGACTCTCCCTTCCCGGGGCTTTGCACCTGGAGAGAAAGAAAGCCGGTCAAGAGCACAGAGAAGCCCGGCCCAGTCCCCCAGCCTCGGGGGGCTCCCCAGACCATCCCACTCCCACGGCCTCCACCCTGCCTTTCGGAGAAGGAGTGCGGGAGAGCCACAGGTGACCCCTGGAGTCAGGCCGGGAGCCCAGCGAGCTCCGGGGGAGGTGGGGTGCCGGGCCGCCTGGCTGGAGAGCTCTGAGAGCTGAGACCACCTCGCACAGCTGTGGGAAATCCTTAGTAATGCAAGTCCCTCCCCCTCTAAGTCACAGCCCAGGGACCTGCAGGCTGGAAGGCCTGTGCCTGTCAGTCAGCAGCGGGTACTGAGTGCCTTCACCTTCCACAGGTCATGTACCCGCCCTGTGGTCGGAGAGAAACAGGAATCGCAGACAGTGCTGCCCTGGGAGCATGCAGCGCAGCTGGTGTGAGGGCACACACTGCACACACTGCACACACATGCTTCCAGGGCCACCGCACTGCGCCACGCAGTCCCGCCTCACGCACCACAGGCTATCACATGGGACCTGAGAAGGTCTCCTAGGGAACGGATGGACGACGCAGAGGGAGGAGGGAGATGCCTGTGTGTGTGTGTGTGTGTGTGTGTGTGTGTGTTTACATAGACCTTCTTCCTGCGTGTGGAACAGTGGAACAAGGACCACCATCAGAGCAGAACAGGCTGACCAAGGTCAGAGCCGGGTGACCTTCAGCAGCTACCCACTGTCCGGGGACATCTGTCTGTCCATCAAGCAGACAGCAGCATGCGCTCCCTGGGGGCCGTAAGGGTTAAGCGGGTGTGGTGGTGCCTGGCACGGAGCCTGGCACATTCTAATCCTCCACGGCCCCGGCCGGTGCCTCTACTCTCCCTTCCCCTGTCCCGACCCCCTTCGTTGCCCCAACTGTGCCTTTGCAGGTTCCTGCCTGGTCCTCATGCTAATCTTCCCAGGGAGGTTCCCAAGCCCGCCCTTCCTAAGCCACCCGCGCACGCCGGCTCTCCTGCCTGGGCAGCTGAGTAACGACACGTGGATGTGAATGACAGGCCGCAGCGTCCTCATGAATCTACCACGAGGACACTGTGCAGAGTTACAAATGCAGGCGCCACACTTTGCCCCTGTTCCCTACACAAGCAGCCGGGCGGGTTCTCTGAGGACGGCCTCCACGCCCTGCAGGCAGCCTCGTGGCACCGGCCATCGGCCACCACAGCGTGAGCCGCCTGTGTGACGTGTCATCCGTGTGAGCTAGAGTGTGGCTGGGAGAGGGATGGTGCTGGGTGGCGGTGAGCAGCTGAGGCCCAGGAACCTCCTCTGGGAGCTGCGGAGAGATGGCCACGCAGGCTCAGAACGCGGTCAAGGAGATCAGAGACACAGAATGGACGTGTTTCCCAAGCGCAGGCCGCTCAGTGCTCCAGATGTGGCTCTTGTCCGGGATGCTCCTCCACAGTGACTGTGTCTCCTGCAAACCAAAGCTCCGTGCCCCTCCCGTAAGCAGCCCGCAGAGCAGGAGGCACTGGCATCTCCCCAGCCGCTGCCTTATTTCTGTAAGAAGAATATTTTGCATCATAAACCCTTTGATGAAGAAAGGGAGAGAGAGCCCTTAATGAAATATGCTAATCTGGGTAAGCCCGGCTCATATGAAAGGGAATATTAAAGGAGACGGAATTGGCCAAGGCCCATGCGGTACCCTGAGAGAGCTGAAGAGGGAAGGGAGGGAGAACAGGCCCTGGTCCCAGCTGCTCAGGGTCAGCGGATGGCAGTGATCGAGTTTGGAAAATCAACCTGAGGCCTCCAGATCTGACTCGACGCATTAGCCTGGAAGGGTTGTGGGGAGAGAGCTGTTTTGTGCCAACATCAAAGATGATTTGGGAACACAAGGTCAACTCCACCTGCGAAGGACTGGCAACAGCAGAAAAATGGGGAGCCACTCATGGGATGTCCCCCTCCCCACCTTCCTATGATTGGCAGCTGAGTGAGGCAAGGGAGGGAAAGGCAGGGGTGTTTACTGCCAAAGTAAAGGACAAAAAGGAGGCTCTGACCCAAACCAACAACGGCTTTAAGTGCCCACACCGGCCAGGTTGGCATTAGCCTGGAAGGGTTGTGGAGAGAGAGGGCTGCTACGTGTCAGACGTGACTCTTCTCTTCAGGGAGCTCAGCGTCTCCTTGGGCTCACAGTGGACTCTCCGAAAAGACCTGGCAATGAAAAGGGCTCTAAGTGCTGTGGGCGTGCAGAGAAGAGTGATGAAGATGAAGCTGAAAAGTGGGGACCAAGCCAGACATTGCAGGGCCTGGGTCATGTTAAAAATTTTGTCTGGCGCTTCCAGTCCAGATGGCGGCATAGGTAAATGCAGGAATCGAAACCTCCTGCAACCACATCAAAAATACAACTAAACTACAGAACCACCGTCATTCCTAACCACCTGAAACCTAGCTGAACAGAAGTCCTACAACTAAGGATAGAAAGAAGAAGCCACATTGAGACTGGTAGGAGGCTGGGTCCACACCCACAAGTGCTGGTTAAAAACAGGAAGAATATCTCAGCTGCAGAGGTCACTCTGAGGATCCAGGGGCCCCAGGCCAACACCAGACCCCCAGCCCAGGGTTCCAGAGCTGGGAAGAGAAGTCCCCATAACTTCTGGCTGTAAAGGCCAGTGGGAATTGTGGCTGAGTGGTACAGAGGCTGCTGGTGCCCAGGCAGTTCCTCTTAAAGGGCCCAGGCACAGACTTATTCTGGCTCACTCCCTCTGAGCTCCAGCGCTGAAGCAGCAACTTGAAAGGCACCAGGGACATACGGGAAGAACTGAAGTGTCTGGCATCAGGGCGAGAGCTGGAGAGGCAGCTTTCTCCCAGACAGAAGTGCTGGAAGAGGCCATTGTTCCTTTTCTGAGTCTGCCTCCCATAGAGCCAGCAGGTGGGTGCCACATCTGAGTCACCATCAACCTAGCTAACACTGTTTACCTGCCCTGGTGATTCCCGGAGGCCCCGCCCACCCAACATGCAGGCCCACCCAAGCCCTTTCCAGTGGCTTTTCCATACAAACAGCCTGTCTTGGCTCATACTGCTTGTGTTCCTAAATCTCTCAAACACCAACATATGGTTCCTGTGTACCCTGTACCTGCCAAGGGGCCCAGGCCCGGCACTAGTGGCAGCAGGCCTTGGTTCGCAGTTTGGCCTCTCCTGGGCACATCAAAGTCCAGCACAAATAACAGCCATCTGCAGATCTCTCTGTATCTCATGCCAGGTGGCCCCTGACAGGGCACAGGCAGTGGCTGACCTTCGTCTGCACCTCCCAGAAGGCCCCAGAGCCGGTGCACCCAGCGGACAGCTTCAGACCATGCGGAAGCACCACCCAACCACCTCCACAAGGGACACACTCAAAGGGTGGACTCAGGAAGCACCTGAGCCCCAAACTGAAGAGAGTTCTCCTCCCATGGGCTTGTCCCCTGCACAGCTGATCCCTCACAGTGGTCACAGCTCATCCTTGCAGCCAATGAGTCTTGGAGTAAATCCCTCCCATTAATGTGCCAACAGCAATCAAGGCTCCACTACATCAGGAGGGTGCACAGAGCCCACAGGGTCGCACCTGAAGCACCCAGCTCAGGTGACCAGGGAGGCTGTGCCACTGGGCCCTACAGAACACCTACTACACAAGGCCACTCTACCAAGCCCAGGAGATGTAGCAGCTCTACCTAATACATAGAAACAAACACAGGGAGGCTGCCAAAATGAGGAGACAAAGAAACATGTCCCAAATGAAAGAACAGAACAAAACTCCAGAAAACAACTTAACAAAATGGAAATTAGCAATCTGTAATTTTAAAATGAAAAAATATATTTGAAAAAAGAAATATTGTATTTATCCTAAGGACAAGGAAAATGTATTGAAGAGTTCTATGCAAGAGGGTGGTAGTAGCGGATTTGTTTTGGGAAAACCATTCTCAATGCCAAGATAGAGTGCTTGGCCGGTAAGAGGTGCCAATCACATTTGTAGAGTGATGATGGCTGCAGTGTGGAGAACAGGTGGGAGGGGCAGACGGTGGGTACTGGGAGGCTAACTAGTT